GGGGGGGGGGGGGGGGGGGGGGTGGAAGCCACTCTGCGCACACACCAGAAAATTGCTCAGGTTTTAAATAGCAGTCACCAGGGCTGGCTGTGAGCTCGTCGCAGCCAAGGTGCCGCGTGGTAGGGGGCTCGGCAGGGAGGCTGCCCTGGCCCCTGCCGCCCGCAACCCATTAAGACCCGCAGGGCTTGGAGGAAAGATCTCCGGTACCATCTGTTGTTTTATTATTAAGAGGGGAGTTTACAAGAGCAAGCCCATATGTTGCCAAACAAATTGTCAAATAGCGGAGCTATTAGGAGAACAGGGTTGACGAGGCTTTCCACCCCGCAAGCCCCCCTCACCGCTTCCCTCCACCCCCCCCCTCCCGCCGCCAGCCGCCAACCCCTTCGTCTCCCTAATACAGAATATAGAGCACGTGGAATTCCCACCCCGAACTACATTCTCAACGACTGTGGTCCTGGTTCAAGAGAGGGCCAGGGTGACCCGCGCATGGCCCTTCGTTTCCGTCAGGCCGGGGAGGGTCGGGGAGAAGTCACTTCACTGAGCTTCTGTCCTCTATCACCTTTGAACAGCAGAGCATGGGTGGCGGGGGGGGGGGTTTGCGAGTTTGGGGCCCCAGGCCTCGGGTCCTCTCCCCCCGGCCCCCCAGGGGGCGGCTGGTATGAGCTCCGGGGAGTCCGCGTGCATTCTGGGAGGGAGGCCGTGTCTCTGCCAGGAAAAGACCAGAATCGCTGAGCAGCAGCCAGGCTTTGTCCAAAATTCAGAGCCAGGCAGCTGATTCAGACAAAAAATCAATGGGGCTTTGAAAACCGTGCTTTCAAGACCCATAAGTGACCAGGGCCAAAAGGTGGGGTAAGAGACTCGCAAACATGTGTTCCTGCACTTTCCGTCCCCCCCCGCCCCCCCCGGGCGTCGTCCAAGGGGAAGACACTCAGAGTCGCCGTGTCTGTCCTTAGCATTGTCACCGTAATTAGTTTCTTTTAAAAAGCCAGCGGACAGGGTAGGGGGCTGGAAAACAGGGCAGTCGCTGCGTACATGGTGACGATGGATTTTTGTCTCAGTTGCAGTGAGAATTTCTTTGCGGGGCGGGGGGACCTCAGGACTGGGGAGGGGGGGACAAAAATCTCTTTGGTGGCAGGGCCGTCCATCCCGTCCTAACCCCCTCCCTTTCTCTTCTGACCACGACCACTGAGGCCCGGTGGGAAAGAAGGCAAAAGTGTTTCCAAACCTTGCCCCCAAATAGGCCACAGGACACCCATCTGCTGGGCTTCTCAGTCCCCAGCCCGGGGACGCCAGCTCCTGCTCAGAGTCTGGGTCCCCACCCCCGGCCCCCTCTACTTCAGGGAGCATAAGGCGAGCCCGTGCATTTGACTCTTGGCAACCTTGTGGGGGGGGGACAGGGGGTCCCCAACACGGAGCAGCCTCTAAATGGGGGGTTCCTGTTTGCCCGTGTTATTTAAATTGAAAAGTACACATTCTTTTTTTTTTTAGTTTGTTTTTTAATGGTTTTTTTGAGACAGAGTATCAGCAGGGAGGGACAGAGAGAGAAGGAGACACAGAATCCGAAGGAAGCAGCTTCCAGGCTCTGAGCTGTCAGCACAGAGCCCGACATGGGCCTCGAACCCATGAACTGTGAGATCAGGACCTGAGCCGAAGTCAGACGCTCAAATGACTGAGCCACCCAGGCGCCCCAAGAGTACAGATTCTAGAGTAGATATGGACTTATAAAAACATTCCCCTGGTAAAGCCTGGAAAAAAAAAAAAAACCAACTAGAGGGTTTTTGGCTTCATTTATCTTGAAATCTGAAGGTGGTGATGAAGGAAACCCAGGAGGCTCCCTGGAGGAGGCGGGAATCTGACAGTCTGGGAATGAGTGCGGATCAGGGTGGCCCGATCAGAAGAGACAGGGGGTGCTGGTGGGGGCCGCGGGGGTGGGGCTGGCTGGGTCTAGGACCACGGAGGGCGAGGTCTGAAAGGGGGCTCGGGAAGCAAAGCGTCAGTTCTCACTGCCTTATACAGGCCTGGCTGGGCCCCCAATAAGCGTGGGTGCTAGATTCTGACCGAGTGTCCACCGGGGCAGCGTGGGGTGGCTAAGAGGGTCAGCCTCGTCCTCATTCTGAAAGGCTGAGTCACGTGGGCCTTCAGAGGGACCCCCAGCACCCTTTCAGACCCAGGGTCTATATTAGGGTGAGTCTTCTCCCTGAATGACAGATTGAACCATTTGGGAAGCAAAACACAGTCGGGACCAGTTGGGGGGGCCTGGTGGGGGTGCAGATCAGCCCGGGGTGTCCTTTTCAGGGTCGCAGAGTGTGATATGTGTGGCCGTTGTGCCAGGCAGGGTAGGGGTGGCTCCCAGAAAGCACCAGGCCCGTTATCGTTAACAAGTGCCAGGGGCTAGATGCCCTTTCCCCGGGGCGATTGTAAGTATCGCACGTACGCAGGTGGCTTCCGGGTGGAAGCTTCGAGCCTTCCAGCCCCCGACTCATAGGGTCGCGGCGGGGGGCACGCTGCCTAACCCATTCTAGTGCTCCAGAATCTTCTGGAAGGAACTCCCAAGGTCAGCATCCACTCCATGACATCTCAGACACAGTCTTGCTGCAGGGGCACACCCAGCAACAGGACCCTAACCCCCATGCAGCCTGGAGGAGGGCAGATGCTAGAGGGTGGCCCTGGCCTTGGCAGCGTGGCCACCGGGGTTTGGGGGTGTCGCAGCTGGCCTGCCCCTCAGGCCTACTTCCAGCCGCCTCACTCCCGCCCCCGTGTCACTTCTTACCTGCAGCAACACGGAATCCCCATCCCGGTCACCCCCAAGAACCCATGGAGCATGGACGAGAACCTCATGCACATCAGGTAAGGAAGGCGGCCCCCACCTGTCCGCTGCCCTGCCCGGGGCCAGGGAGCACCTGCCTGCCCAGGACAGCTGTCGTGGTGACTGCACGTGTGGACAAACACTTGTAGCTCATTGCATGGCCCTCAGGGGGATGAATAGGCACAGGGCCTCCACTGACGTATCCCGGAAGGCTTCTCTGAGGAGGTGACTTTTGACATTCAGACTGCAAGGACAGAAGGGACGGACTGGCTGAGGTGCACGGAGTGCTTAAAGCAGAGAGAACAGCGTGTGTGAATCCCTAGGGCTGTGCCCCCCAGAAGACTGAGGGGATATCGTCCCAGGCTCTTCTGCAACCCACAGTTCCCACAGCCCACTGCGGTGGGCCCGGAACGTTCCGGGCAGGGCTGGCCGGAGCCGCTTTGGCAGAGAAAGAAAGGCAGACCAGACTTGTGTTGGGGAGGGCGTGGGGGGTGTCTTCCTGCCCCTCCCCGGCTGACCCACCATCTTCCCTCTCCCCCTGCAGCTACGAGGCTGGAATCCTGGAGAACCCCAAGGTAATCCCCCACCCCGTTTCCTGTGAACCCGCCGCCCGTCTTTGGTGGCAGCGGCCACTGTCTGATGTGATTGTAGCCTAATTTGAAATTTCACGGGGGCCGGGTGTGGGCCTGGGGCCGAGCCCTGCCTGCGTCCAGATCCTCCCCACAGGGCCGCCCCCCCTCCGCCTCCCTACTCCACTTTTCTGCATTTTGAGACGCGCCCCCCCCCCCTTTTTCTAATTGCTGTCGAGATGAATAGGGGAAGGAAATATTTCAGGGCAGCATGGAGAGGGTGTGTGATTGTAAGACAATAAAGAAGCAATTAGGCAGATGAGACACTTGTCGGAGGGCCCAGCCTGTGCCCACCAGCTCTCAGGCCGGCGCTACTGCTGCGCGGGGTGGGGGCTGGTACAGATTAGAGCCTCAGGACCCATTTGTCTGGGTTTTGTGCTTGCACACCCGCCCCCAGGCAGGCCGCCCTGATCCCCGGTCCTGAGCCTCCCAGGCTGGCCCAGGCTGGGCCTCAGCCCTGTTTGAAGTTTAGGATTTCTCTCCCTGGGGGGTTTCCCTTTGTGTCTCCCCCTGCCACCGTGGGAGATGGGGGCTGGGGGGGGGCGCCGGCCGAAATCTATCCTGGGAAGAGAAAAATCTCTTTGTCCCTGAGGGAATGTGTCTCCATTCCCTGGCTCAGCCCCGCACCGGGGGCGGCTGATTTGGGGGTGGGGGTGGGGGCGGCGGGGCTGACTTAGGGAAGAAGTGTGCTCGCGTGGGGTGGGGGTGCTTGGGCAGCTGGGTCTGGGGGATCCAAGAGGGCCAGCTGGAGGGGAGGATGCGGCGGCGGTGCTGCTGGGAGTCCTGGGCGGGGGGCCTCCCCCCGAGGGCCTGGGTCTCTCCACAAGGGTGGGTGACATTATAACAACAACCAGTGACCGTTTCTGGGGCGCCAGGCCCGGGTTAAGCGTTTTCTCGGCTTCCTTGGCTTGACTCCGGGCTACAAGCGTCCTCACCTGATGGGAGAGGAAATGGAGAAACCAAGGCCCGATGAAGTGACTCCCCTCCCCCTTCCCGGGGCACCCCATCTCGGGAGCTGGCCCTCTGCCTCTGTGGTTCCCCCATTGCCCGCCCCCACCCACCCGGGGCTCTGCCCACGCGTGTCACTCAAGAGAGCCCGCACCCTTGCCCCCTGGGGGCTGATGGCCCCACGGGCTGCTGCCTGCTGGCCACAGGTTTTTCCAGTTCATGCTCTGCTGACCCCACGACACTCAGGCCAGCTACCCCTAATTAGCCAGTCAGTCAGCGCCAAGGGGGGCGGGCAGGGGGTGCTGAGCCTGGCAGAGCTGTGCAGAGGCAGGCTGTCACCCCCCACCCCCAAACATCCCGTGGCATTCTTACCTCCCAAGGGGTGCGTGGGGGAGAGCAGAGCCAAGGGCAGAGGGAAAGCGCCCCTGGGCAGCGCTGGGGGTGCAGACAGCTGTGTGACCCTGGGCAGCTCCTTCCCTTCCGGCTTCCTGTCTAACGAGTGCGGCGGATGGAGGAGTAAGGGCTAAAGGGTGTCCTTTTAAAACGTCTGGACCCGATCAAGTTGGGAAGGCGATGCATCAGGCCCAGCGCGAAGAAACAAAGGCTCTGAATCCTGACCCTGCTGCTTAATCGCTGTGCCATCTTGGGCAAGTTACAGGGCCTCTCTGAGCCTTTGGTTCCTCGTGCACCTGGGAGGAAGCCGCAGTACCCCCATTCCGCAGCTCTTGGCCTGTCCCTAGCACAGGATGACACCTCAATCCTAGAGCCAGGCCCCCGGCCCTCCCTCCTTACACAAAGATTCTTTGGGGGGGTGGGAAAGGGGGCCAAGACGCTCTCAGGTCCCCTCTCACCAGGCAGGGAAGGCTGGGCTGGGTGAGAGGAAACATCATTCCCGCTGAGAAGTCAGGTGAGGCTGAGGAACCCAGGGTCCGGCTCTCCAGCTCGGTTCGGGGGGGGGGGGGGGGCTCCTCCAGGCTAAACCCCAGGACCCTCTCTCGCATCTTCAGATGCCCCGCGCACGGTAGTTATTGGGCTCTAGATCCCGAGGATAAGGAAGCAGTCGCTAGCGGCCGGGTGCTTCCCTCCAGGCCCACCGTGCCCCACCCCCCTGCAAGCAGGCCTGGCCCCCTTGGGAGGAGATGGGGAGACAGAGCCTAAGGGAACAGGGGCCCCCTCCCCCTCTCCAAAAAAAGCCCCGAGACCTGCCGAAGGGAGGGTCTGAAGGCAGATGGTGGAGCCATTTTCTGCCTCCGTGAGGGCTGATTGAAGGGCAATGAGGCAGCTAATGCGAAGAAAGATAGAAATTTACTTGCTTTAACTTCATACGGCACATAGTGAAAGAGTTCATTCAGTCGCCGGCCCGCCATATCTGATGGATGAATAAACCATTTTCAGCATCGATCATGCCTCTACATCATGGTTTAGTTCATGGGCCATTTGCTTCCAATTTCTCCTTCTCGGCCCTGTTTCATGCTTTCTTTCTTCCTCTTCCCACCCCCCACTCGCTCTCTTTTTTTTTTTTTCTTCACTCTCTTCCCTCTCCCCCCAGCACACCCCCACCCCCAGATGACATTGGAAGTGAGCCCTCCCGCTGGGATGGATAAATAGATGGTATTGATACTCGGCAACAAACTATTTGTCATTTGAACTGGGCTTTTAGGAGGGAGAGTAAAAAGAAGGCAAGCGCCCAGGCACCTCGGGATGCAAAGCAAATGTCACTTTATTTCTATTTAGTTATTTTATTTAATCGGCGCTGTCAGGGTGTCGGAAACCACAGCGACAGCTGCCTCCGAGTGCCAGTCGGTCGCTGGCCCTGTGGCTCTGCCCACCTCCACTCAAGGAGAGGCCATCTCGTCCTCTGTCCTGAGCGTCACGGGAAAAGTGCGGCGGGAGGTCAGGCAGCGAAGGTAGAGGTGGCAGGAAGCAGCGTGGGTAGGGGACTGGGGACTCTCAGCGCTGTCACCCTGCTTTGGGCCCATCCTGGGCTTTGGGGAAGGGGCTGCAGAGTCACGTTGGACCCCTGGAGGTCCAAGCCCTGCTTCACTTTGCCTTTTGGCCCAGGACGGTTGGTCATCGGGCCTGTCTGTGCCCAGGGACGCGGCAGTCAGCAGGGCCCGGCATGACCCAGGGAGCTGGGCATTTCTCTGAAACCACACGAAGCCTGTCCCCACAGTGAATGATGGTGGCCATCTCTGGCCAAATCCCTTGTGCTGTTTCTCAGCCTTTAGGTTTCTTTTTTTTTTTTTTTAATATTTTTATTTATTTCTAGGAGAGAGAGAGAGACAGTGTGAGCAGGGGAGGGTCAGAGAGAGAGGGAGTCACAGACTGAAACAGGCTCCAGGCTCTGAGCTGGCAGTCAGCACAGAGCCCGACGCGGGGCTCGAACCCACGAACCGCGAGATCATGACCTAAGCGAAAGTCGGACGCTTAACCGACTAAGCCACCCAGGCGCCCCTCTCAGCCCTTAGGTTTCTAAAGCAGCTGGGGAGGAGCAGGGAGTAATGGAAAGAGCACTGAACAGGGAGTCTACACGGGTGGGGACAGGCAATGTGATTTGGTCAAGCCACTTCTGTGGCCTAGGTTTTCCATCTGGTCCATGGAGGCATCAGGCTGAGGGTCCTTCTGGACCCTCTTCTTCCTTGAGTCTGTCTTGGAAGTCAGTTCTGGATCCTTACTCCCACCCTAACTGATGGAAACAGATGAGGGGAGGGAGCGGGTCCTAGGTTGTCCAGCAATCTGGAGGTGAGGGGTCCACCACAGGCTGCTGGGTGAGCTCAGAAGTAGAGCTAGAAGCCCAACCATCCCCCTTGCCCAGGACTGAGGGGTGCCAAGGGGGTCGTTGAGCCAGGAAGGCTGGTCACTTGGGCATACAGCCAAGAAGCAAAGTGACCACAGGTAAGGGGTCCAAGGCACGTCCGCTGGCCACCTCCCCTGGACAGACTCTTCCCAGAGGCAGACACCACCGGGGGGCGGGGGGGGGGGAGGTTCCAGCCGTCATACCCCCCTGCGGGACAGGTCACAATTTGCACCTGACCTCCCTGCCGTTTTCTTGGGTAATTTTCATGCCCAGTAGAAATTATAAAAACCATCCTATATATTTGTGGTGGAAGATGGTCAAGGGCAGGTATCATTTCCCCATTTTGCAGGTGAGGGAAACAGGCCCAAGGCAGCAAAGCAACTCGCCCAAGCCCCTCACCCCCGGCTGGAGATCTTGACCCCTGGCTCTGAGGGTATTTATTTCCCACCACTCGAGGACCCGGCACGTATTTGTGGAAGGCCTCAGGGTTCCCCGTCTTGTGCCAGGTTCGGGCTTGCACAGAACACAGTCTCAGCCAGGGTCCCGCCCCCCTCATTCCTCCTCAGCCTCTAGCTCTTCATCTGTAGATAGGGTGATAGCACTTGACCTTCTCACCAAATGGGGCTGCTGGGAACCTGAAAGAAACTGCAGATGGGAAGAGACATGTAAATATCTGCAGGATTCTGAAAGCAATGATTTAAGGACCTGCGTGTCCCGGGGTGTCCCAGGCGGAAACTGCTGGGTGCGGGGTGCGCCCAGGAGAGACTAGAGCAGTCAGGCTGAGAGGCAGGTCCCCCTCCCCTCAGTGGCAAGGAGCCTTGGCTGGAATGGGGGGGGGGGGTAGCCAGGCCTCAGGAGCCCCAGGCAGTCAACAGCCCCTCGACTGCTGCATCAAGACGAGAGGCCCATTTTCCAACGCACCCAAGGAAAAATATACATAAAGGTTGATGCGTTTTCAAATGGGTTTTTGCTTTGCTCTTCTCTTTTCTCCCTGTGAGTATTAACCTCGGGGACCCCGGGGACGGCTCGGCTCGCCGGAGCACCTGCTGAGGTCACGCGTAGTCATTAGCTTTGCGGTCAGTGCAGAATAAACCCCAATTCCCGGCGCCTGCGAGAGAGCGTGCGCCCACTCCCGGGAAGCCCGCTGCCACCCGCCCGCTCCTCCAAAGTCACACTTTTCTTGCCTGACTTGTTCTTCTGCTGCTATTCTATTCTATTCTACCTCCAGCTGTGGGGGCGTCGAAGAAAAAGATGAGATCAAGTTGAGGGGAAAAATTGTCTGATTTCTTGAGCCCTTTGTTTCCCGGGCCCCTGGCAAGCGGGGGGCTGGCTCCGGGCTGGGGGGGCGGGGCTGGGAGGCCCACGGGCCCGTGCCAGTCAGTGACAAGGGCCGCAGCCCCCTAGTTCTGGAGAAGGGGTGCAGGTCTCTGCAGGAGGTGGGGTGCAGGGACTGGCAGGGCACGGCTTGGCTCTGGACACCCCAACCTCCAGCCTCTTTCTGTCTTTTATCAGAACCAAGCGCCTCCGGGCCTCTACACAAAGACCCAGGACCCCGCCAAAGCCCCCAACAGCCCTGACATCCTGGAGATCGAGTTCAAGAAAGGTAGGTGTCTGCCTGCTGGGACTCGAGGGGGTGGGCGCTTGGGGCCCAGGAGCCTGGGCATGAGCTCCCTCCATCATCTCCTGTCTTCTGGGAAGTCAGGGTTCCCAGCCCCCACTTCCCTAGATGGCATGGTCCATGGAAGGCTCCAGGCTCGAGAGAAAAGCACCCTCAGCGGCCCATCACCTGGGCCCACGGGTGCCAGCTCTGAAGTGAGAGCATTCCAGTCCCCAAGCAGTTGTTTGCCAGCTTTGCAACTGGTGTTGAAAGCACCCGCCGTCTGGCATGTTCATGGTGGAGAGTGAGGTCTGAAAGGGATGTGTCTGGTACAAGGCTCCGGCCCCAAGGAGGGGCTCAGTAAATGGCCTCGGGGGCCCTCTGACCCCACCGCTAAAGCCTTAGCCAGTCCTATGCTCGATGCTGTGCGCACCCCTACCCCAGACTCAAAGCTGCCACCACTCTCGCTCCCTCTGGCCGTGGTTGGGTGTCCTTGCCTTTGCTGCTATCGAGACATGTTTGCTGGCCTGAGTGCGCAGGCTCAAGCCCGGCCCCAGACACACCTCTTGGCAGTGAGGACAGACAGGAAGGCAAGGTGAGCCTGGTAATGAGAAGGGCATGACCAGGCTCAGAGTGAGGGCTCAGGGCGCCCCAGGAGAGGACCTGCCCAGGCAGTTGTAGAAATCAGGGAGGCTTCCTGGAGGTGGTGCTAGGCAGGAGCTGGAGGATCCAACGAGGGGGCATGAGGGCCTCCTGAGCCTGGACAAGGAGGCCAGACAGTCCATCCACAAGGTCGCTCCCTGGGCTAGAACAGAGCAGAGGGAGAGGGACACGGCCCCCTCCCCGGGCACCGCGGAGATCTAGGCTGGGGAAGGGGAGGTGAGGTTCAGATCCTTGCCTCGCTCCTGCTGGTGTGACCTTGACAACCAAGTTCACCCCTCTGGGCCTCGGGCTCACTTTCCTAGAGAATAGGCCACGGGAATGATGCTCATAGGTGCTGAGCACGGTGCGCAGAGCGAGATGGTGGGAAATAGAGGCTGTTCGTACTTGGGTCATCGCCGCTTCCTGACCTTTCCCGAGAGCCTGGTCAAGCCGGTGGGCATCTTCGTTGCTCCCCGGCATCCGTTCAAATACTTGAATTTCATGCCACTTGGGAACCAAAGGGCCCGTGGTCTGATGGCCCTGAAGGTAGCTGGAGCCCTTGTAGGACATCCCCGAGGATCATCTCCGACAAGGTGGCGGGACAGCCCCAGGCAGCACCTCCAGCAGCCTCCCTCCCACCCCAGGGAGCCCAGGAGAGGGTGGGAGGCGGGCAAGGTGCGGGGGGGGGGGGGGTCCCGGCCACAAGGCCCTGGCAGCCTTTCCTCCAGAAATAGGGCAGCCCCAAGGGCTAAGCTGGAGAAGAAACGTGGTCCATTTTAATGATTTGGGAACCGTCTGGAGGGAAAAAAAAAAAAAACAACAACAGACGGGAGGAGCCGTCCCCGACTACTCCCATTCACTCTCTAGTTAATTTATTTGAAGTTTTAATCTAATTATTAACTATTTTAAAGGCTAAGAGGCTTTCTCCGGCAGCATCCGCTCCTCTCTGGGGCAGGCCCCGTCAAGGCCCCTGCGAAGCCCATAATAGGGCCGGGAGGGAGAGAAAGGGAGAGGGGAGAGGCGGGCAGTGGCGAGAGGGGCTTAAGGTTCATTATTGGGCAGACTTACATTTAATAGCAATTTACAACCAAGTTATAAAACCCCTGGAAATGGGGGTGAAGAATGGCGAGGTGACAGCGCCTTGAGGGAAGCCCCTCCAAGCGGCGGCTGGCTAATAAAGACTCTAAAGCCGCTATTGAGGCTGATTGGCACCCGGTCGCTGGCCACATGGTAATGAGTTGGGCAGATGGGCGGGGGATTATCCGCCAACTTTGAACGGCTTTTCTTTGTCACTGTTACAGCTTTCTTGTTAGCTCCCTGATACATTCATTGCTCATTTCACACCGCTCCAGAAAGTGCCCCCTTGCTATTCAAAGTCAACCCCGAACCCACCCACTGCCCCCCCCTCGCCGCCTTGACTCAGCCCTGCCCTCCCCTCCCCGAGCAGCGGCCACCTCCCTCCTGCCACCCCAAACCGGGCTGCTCTGAATGCACGGACGCCTGCTGGAGCGGGCACCCCTAGGCCCCAGCAAGCGGATGGCTTGTGGTGGTCTGGGGTGCGGGGCCCCGGGGGGCCCACCGGACAGACGCGGCAGGGGGCTGTGAGCCTGTGTGTGCGTGCGCTCGCATGTGCACGCGCACGGGCCCGAGCGCCTCCGCACCTCGGCCAGGCGGCCTGGGTGCGGGGCCGGGGTCTCCCACCCCCCCGACGCCAGACGGCTGTGAGCTTGTGCGCGCGCGCGCATGTGCACGCGCACGGGCCCGAGCGCCTCCGCACCTCGGCCAGGCGGCCTGGGTAGCTGGTGGGACAGAAGGTGCCCGGGTGTAAGACAATGGTGGAGCGTGAAATTCAATTAGTTCAGGGCTGGTTCCAATTTCACAGCCCCTAAATGCAAAAGGGACGGAGAGAATGGGAAGGGTGGGGGGCGCGTTTTTATTGCATTTTCCCTTTCATTGCGGGGGGCGTTCTCGCCCCTTCGCTCTCTCCAGCAGGCCCCAACCTGCACAGGGCTTTTCAAGGAGTCATTTGGAGTCCATATCTGTCACATCCATTTAAGGCGTTGCGGGTGGAGGGAGAGGGCGGGGTGACAGGCGCAGGCTCCTCGAGCTCCGGCCCGCGGGCGCACTGCCCTCTCCTCCCGCCCTAGGGGTCCCCGTGAAGGTGACCAACGTCAAGGACGGCATCACCCACCGCACGTCCCTGGAGCTCTTCATGTACCTGAACGAAGTCGCGTGAGTGCCCGGCCTCCTGGGAACCCACCCTCTGGGCGAGCACTGGCCCAGGCCCCAGTGGCTGACGGTCACAACCTGGGGCTTCGGGGCCGAGGAGGACAGGCCTGGGGCCCGTGGGCAGCCTTTGGCGCAGCCTGGAGGCCTGGGGTGTCCTGGTTGAGCTTCTGGGGCCTCCAGCAGATCCGAGAGCAGGACAGAAGGAAGGATGAGCAGTGAGTAGGGCTGGTGCCACCCGAGGGCTCAGGACAGAGGTCACGGAAGCTGCACACTCGACCGCGTGACCCAGGCAACCCTTTCCCTCTCTGGGTCTCGGTTTCCCCACCTGTACAATGGACGGTGGAAGCAGGGGACCTGGCTCAGATGCCCTTTATGTCCTGGATCTTGGGATGGTGCCCAACACCCCGCTTGTGGCTCTGGCACCCTGCAGCCGAGAGCCCTGCTGAGTGGGCAGCATCTTGACTCCAACGCTGGCGGCGGCCGCACCCCGTTTTAAAAAACCCATTCTCCCCACAGGGGCAAGCACGGCGTGGGCCGCATCGACATCGTGGAGAACCGCTTCATCGGGATGAAGTCCCGAGGTGAGTCTGCCCTCCACCCTCGGGGGCACGTCCCAGCTCCCAGAGACCCCAGAAGCCCCCCAGATCCCCGTCCCATCAGGGTGTCACTACCGCCGTACCACACGGGTGACTTCGGGCAAGTTCCTTCTCCCACCAGACTCCGTTTCTATCCCCGTGAAGCGGGGACAGCGGGCCATTTGTCACTGAGTCCCAAGGGCGTTATGAGAAGCACTATCCCAAGAGTGGGGAGGAAGCTGGGGGTCCAGGAGGGGCTCAGAGGAGAGGGCAGGCTGGGGACAGGCCTGGAAGTCAAGCTTTCCTGTGCCCTGCAGTGGGGGTTGGGGGAGGGGGTGCTGGGCCAGGTTCGGAGGCAGACCAAGCAGGGCCGATTTCACAGTCATTAAGGCTTCTTTGAGGAGGCCGCCAGCCCAGTAGGGCAGGAATTCTGCCAGGGGTGGGCGCTGTGGGCTGCGCCGGTCATGGCGGGGAGAGGGGGGGTGGGCTGCGCCTGGGTTTGGAGCCGCTGACGCTTAGCGAGGATGCCAGGCCCATAGCCACCTTTGGCTGGACCAGGAGTGAAGACGGGTTGGTCCCAACCAAGCAGGTGCCTGCATCTTCTCTTTGGTAAGCGGAGCCCTGTGATTCTTCCGGCCATCACTCACAGGGTCATGAGACCACATCGGTCCCCAGGCCACACCCGCCCCTCCCCCGCCCAGGGACTCAGTTTCCCCATACAAGGGGATCTCAAACCCCTTCACATCTGCCAACGTGTGATGTAAAGCAATGCTGCCTCCTCAGGGACCTTTAAGAAGGAGGGGGGCAATCTTGCAGCAGTTAGAACCCCCAAATTGAGCCCCTGATTTTTTTTAAAGACTGGTGGTGAGCTTGGGGGTCCCCCATTTCGACACATGTTCAGCGCACTTTGCTTAGGTTCATTTTATCTTATGTTATCTTTTTAAGTTTATTTACTTATTTTGAGAGAGAGACAGAGACAGAGAAAGCACATGGGTGTGAGTGGGGGAGGGGCAGACAGAGCCGGGGGGTGGGGGGAAGAGAGAATCTCAAGCAGGCCCCACACCGCCAGCACAGAGCGCGACGCGGGGCTTGAACCCACCAAGCCTGAGATCATGACCTGAGCCGAAGCCAAGAGTCGGACGCTTAACCGACGGAGTCACCCAGGCGCCCCTGCTTAGGGTCCATTTAAAAAGATAACACAACCCGATGCGACGGGGCCAAGGGATGTCCCGTAGGGCATGTTTACGAAGGTTCGCAGTTTTCAGCCGTCAGGACAGCGTGCTGGTCCAGGAGGCTGGGTGTGAGCTCGCACTCAAGCTGGCCCTGCCTTGCCCGGTGACCCCTGACTTGTCAACTCTGCCCCCCAGTTTCCCCACGTGTGAGGTAGTAGGCACGGGGGTGGAGGTTGGATCTTTTCCCCTGTGACCTGTGTGGATTTGTCTCCAAAGGTGTGGGGCAGAGGGAAGTCAAGTGGCTGCTTTTCCTCTTTGCCGTGATTTTTTTTTCTTCGAGAAGCAACCTAATTGAAAGGCTCAGGGAAGGCCTTGTCAGAGCAGTATTTCTAATTAGCTGCTCCCGTTCATCCTCACTTCTCTTTGTCTCTTACCTGTATTAACGTCTAATTAAATGCCCCTTTGTCTCCGTCTGCCTTTGGGAGCCACAGCACAACGTAAAGCGCGCAAGGCAGACCCAGGGGGAGCTTGGAGAGCCACAGAGCAGCACCTTCATTGTACAGAAGGGGGGGGCCAAGGCCAGGGCTGATGCCCAGACCCAGAGAGGCACGGAGTCGAGGCTAAGAGCCAAAACTCTGGGCGGCGGCGGGGGGGAGAGTCCAGGTTCCGGCTGTGTTTGATGGCGGAATCTGCTGCCCCACAAATGGCAGCGGCCCCTGGGGCATGCTGAAAGGTCAAAGGCAGCCCGTGGGAGGCGTCCCCTGTGGCACACACTGCCACGGCCTTCCCGCGCCACCGCTAATTGATTGCGGATGTGTCTCAGTGCTCCAGAGAGTGACACCAGCCAGTCGGGACTGGCACTTGCGGTGAGAACGAACCGCCTTCTCCCCGAACTGGGCTGAGGTCACTCCGCGAGATGGCGTCCCGCCAGGTAGGGAGAGTCCAGGAAACTTGAAGGAGGTAGTAATAAAGGCGTGGACGGATCCGGAGAAGGTGGCAGGAGAATGGGCTTCAGCTGGTAGATGTGGAAGTAGGAACATTCTGGGGGATTAGTAAAGAAATGAGGGAGCACCCCAGGTGGCCTGTTAGGTCTGATGGGGGCTGAGCCCCTGCAAGCTGGGGGAGGCACAGTGGAGGGCTGGCCTTTGGTAGAAAGCTTGAGTCGCCATCTTGGCTCCATCACCACTGGGAAAGCAACTTAGCCTTCTGAGCCTCGGCTTCTTTATGTGTGAAGCGGGTTGTTATGTGGATCAAATACAGAGAGAGCTCTGAGTGGATCAAATACAGAGAGAGCTCTGAGTGGTGGGTCACTACCCTTTACCCAGCAGCGGGGGGGTGGGGCGGGGGGGAGTCATCACCCCTGAAATTCAGAGCCTTGAGATTAGCACTCAGTTCCGACTCCCTTGGCTTCTAACCCCCCACCGAGGAGGACAAGGTTCCCGGAACACAGCCTGCACTCACTGTACCCAGGTCCTCTGTGTCTGTGGGGAGCTGTCCCTAAAGGCAGAGAATGGAGCCTGAGAGCTGTACAGTCTTTGGGATAGACAGTCCGCCTTCTGACTCCCAAGAACATGCTGTGGGACCTTAGCAAGGGGCTTTCCCTCTCTGTGGCCCCAGCTTGTCAAAGGTGGGGCCGGCCTGGGTGATCTTACCCCCCTGGAAGTTGTAATTTGCCTGTTTTCTTATTTGGATCGGAGAGGTGAGAGAAGAAAGCTGCTTCCTGATTTTTCGGGCGGTGTGCTGTTCTTACATCTCCACTGAGTAATTCGTCGAGAGGCTGAACGAGCAGGGGGAGTCCACGAGGGTCCTGGGAATGTCCACACGGCAAGGTTTTCATTAAGTCCGCAGTAATGGGTGAAGCTGTTAATTGTCAGTGATACTGAGGGCAGAGCAGGAAGACACCATCGTCCTTAGCTCCGTGTACAAGGGGGAAACATCGTTTGTATTGATTTTACAAAGCTCATAATTGAAATTCGTTTAAGGGCTTGGTTTCCTTTTTTGGGGGGGGGGTAGGGAGTTAGGCAGTGCTTGTGCCTGGAGCCTGGGGTGGTCATGGGGTCAGAGGGCAGGGAGCTGCGGAAGATGCAGATGGAGTAGCTTTTGCTGTATTGTGGCTGTTCACGTTGTGGCTGTTCACGTTGTCATTATCACATTATCTTTTTAACTCTGGAGGGGGGCTAATTAAGTGAAGTAAATGAAATCAGTGGGGAGGAGAAGGGGGGCAGGGCAGGCAGGGGGAAGCGGGGAAGCGCCAGGGCCTGTCCCGCTCACCTTCTCCCTCCTTCGCCAGCCACCTCCCTCCCTGGCTCACCTCTGCCTGCTGCTGCCTCTTCTGCCTGCTGACTCCCTCCCTCCCCTCCTCATTGCCTGCTTCTCCTCTTCCCTCTCCTGGCTGGCCGTCTCTCCTCCGCCGTGTCATCTCTCTCCCACTCTCCCCTCCTATCTCACTTCCTCCTGCCTCCGCCACTTTCTGGCTAAGAAGAAACAAGGGCTGCCCGCCCACTTACCCACCTGCCTGCCCACCTGTCCAGGCCTCCCAGAGGCTCCGCTCAGATGGAATGTTCCAGATGGAGAGGAGAAAGAGAGAGAGAGAGAGAAAGCTATGCAACAAAGATGTCTGTACCCTCAGAGGTCCACCCTGCCCACCAGGCTGGGGTCTGCAGGGCACCAGGACCATAGAGGATGGCTGGAGACCCACCGTGATGTGCCTCCCCATCACCATGGCAACCGCCTCCATCCTTGGCCCTGGTACCTAAGAGGGGAGCCCTTGGGCTCCAGCCAACCTCCCTTCCCTGGGCCTTTCCAAATCTCTCCCTCTGAACACTGCTTTCCCAAAGGACCAGAGCCTCTGGTCCAGGTGCCCTGATCCCTCACCTCCCCCACCAGACCCCAGCTGCCCGGTGGGTCTCACTCTGTTCTACCAAACCATGCGGTCCGGTGAACCTGGCAGCCTCAGGAACAGAGAAGGAGAGGCCGCAGCAACCCCTCTTCCTCCTTGGTCCACTCTCCCCCCTCCAACCTCCCCTAGATCCTTGCCCTTTTCCCCACCACCCCGCCTTGGCAGTAATTATGGTGTGATTGAGGCTGCTCGGCAGAGAGCCGCTGACACCTCTGTCTTTTTCCTGTAAACACGGGGAGATGAAAATAGACACTTGGAGCCGCTGTGCGTGTCACTGCGAAGATGTCTGTTGTCTCTTCTCCCGTGACAGCGAGACTCACCTGTCATTTCCTCCTTCTTTCTGCGCAGTGGTTTGTATGCCGACTGTCAAAAGCCCCAAATCCATAGTCTTTTAGCATCAGGTTTCTGTCACTGTTTTTTTTTTTTAAGTCATTTTTTTTCCCAGAAGGAATACACAGAAATCATCTGTACCCCCTACCCCTGTGGAGAGGAGAGGGAAGATCTTTCAAATGCTCTCTCTCTCTCTCTCTCTCTCTCTCACACACACACACACACACATACACACACACACACACACACACACACACACCTGAAAACAGCTTTTTGATATGTCACAATTAACTTTAACACCTCCAAGAAAGAGCAGGAGTATTAATTGTGCAGGGGTGCGCCAGGGCCGTGCTTCCTGCGGCTGTCGGGCACAGGGGTCGGGCAGTCCTGGCCACCAGACATGCCCAGCTCCCTTCCTGGAAAACAGCTATCATGGGCCAGCAGCAGATGGCCCTGGGCCAGGTCATAGCTCATGCTGGCTGGATACTTACCTTCCGGGTAGGTCTCCGTAGAAGTTAGAATGAAGAGCAGTTTGCCGGGGGGCCCAGAGGGACAACTGAGGCTGGCCAAGGTCACCCAGCAAAGCTGAGCTGGGAACTCCGTGAAGGTATCATTTCCACGGCACTTCTGGTCCCATGCCTGGCCCAGCCGGACAGAAACCAAGGAGGAATCACGTTCCCCGCCGCACCCCCCCCGCCCCCGGAAGCTGGAAAGGAAGAGAGTTTGAGCTATTGGCCCGCCCAGGTCAGCACTGTCGAGACTGGCTGTGCCAACGTATAGGTGGTCTTTGAAAGCTTCTGGGTTTTTCCAAGAGGCAGCAAAACCAATAATTAGAAGGCCTGTTTGCAATTCAGTAGATACCAAGATCTGAGCACGCACCGGGATGAAAGACCAGTAAAAGCCTTGGTCAGTATCTCACTTTAGGTAGCTCTTGGAAAATTACCGTATTCCCAATGATAAAGTTTCTAGGGTAGTTGAAAACTTGCCCCTTTAATATTGTAGCCATCTCCACCATTCTGGAGGCAGACTTTGTTATTGTTGTTTATTTATTTCTTCGGGGGGGGTGGAGAGTGTGTGAGTGGGGGAAGGGTAGAGAGAGACTCCCAGGCAGGCTCCATGCTCAGTGAGGGGCCCAGTGAGGGATGGGGTTGTTGATCCCACAACCATGAGATCATGACCCAAGCCGAAATTAAGAGTTGGACACTAGGGCGCCTGGGTGGCTCAGTTGGTTAAGCATACAACTTTGGCTCGGGTCATGATCTCACGGTTCGTGGGCTCGAGCCCCGCATCAGGCTCTGTGCTGACAGCTGGGAGCCTGGAGCCTCTGTCTCCCTCTTTCTCTGCCCCTCCCCTGCTTGCACTCTGTCTTTCTTCCTCTATCAAAAATAAACATTAAAAAAATTTTTTTTTAAGTTGGACACTTAACGGACTGAGCCACACAGGCGCCCCTGGAGACAGGCATTTCTAAGTGTTCCACATGTGTCTTTGTAAACAGATGGCTTAATCAGGCAGGTCTTTTTCCGTGGCCCTGGGGGCCATTGGGAGCCACTGGTGTGTGGTACCTTCCTGCCTCAACTTCTGTGCTAAGTTCTCGTAGGTTTTCTGCAGCTTCCCGTTCTCATGCTCTTGGCTTTTCTCAGCCATCCATCCGCCCCCACCTCCACCCGCCCTTCTACCCTTTCTGGTTTGTGGCCATGGATGATGGAGCCCATGTGAACCGTGTTTGCCAGAGTGACCGTGAGGCCGAGTGAGGGTCTGAACAATCCCCGGGACTCCAGGGCTTGGGGCTGGTGCGTGAACTTGGGCTGTTGCTGTTTTCCTGCTGGGGAGGCTATTCCCCCACCCTCACTCCCTCCCCGGGCTTTAGCCTGCTCTCTGTAAAAGTGGTGTTGGCCCAAGCTGGCATTTTAAGGACTTCTTGGTGGATCCCAGTGTTTCCCGAGGGGCCTCTGCTCACCCCCACAGGGCCTGGGCTATGTATTCTATAGGCTGGACTTGTGCAAAAGACCATTTGACCAATGGTTTTGCAGCTCAAAGTCAGGACAATGGCACTGGTGATCCGAAAGGGCTGGTCCTTGCCCAGGGAATTTCTGCGACTCTCAGATGGAAAGATCGAACAAGGTTCGAGCAGGTTCTCAGAGGAGGTTCTCAGAGGAGGGCGTTTCTGGCTGGTGACAGCACGCTCAGCTGCGTCCTTGTCCCCTTCAGGTTCCAGGGTTGAAAACCACCTCCTTTCTGAATTGGGGGAAGGGGAGGCTTTTTAAAACATTTTTTTTTTAATTGAGGTAAAATACGCATCACAGGTACCACTTTCACCGTTATCGAGCCTACAGTCTGGTGGCGGTAAGGACATTCACATTGTCATGCAGTCTCCCCACGGTCTACCCCTAGCATCCTTTTCTCCTTCCCGGAAAAGGAGAGTCCTCACCCTGTAAACAACTCCTGACCCCCTCCCCTGCTGCCCTGGCCCCTGGCGCCCACCCTTCTGCGTCCTATGAACTTGAGGACTCTAGGGGCCTCGTGTGAGCAGAACCTTGTGGTATTTGTCCTCCTGAGCCTGTGGCTTATTTCGCTTGGCGCGCTGGCCTCCCAGGGTGTCCCCACTGCATCCTACATCGGCACCTCCCCCCCTTCCAGGCCGAATAATATTCTACGGAGCGCACTTGCCACGTTTTGTTTGGCCGCTCGGCTAAACGTGGAAGGGCTCGCGTTGCTTCTGCCTTTCTGGCCGTTGTGAACGACGTGGCCGTGAACACGGGGGTGCAGATCCTTTCTGTGTTTTAGGGCAGAGCCCGCGTGGAAAGACAGTGGTACGTTTTCAGGCTGACTCAAAACGTGCCCCGTGAACACAGGAATGTTCCGCGGTGGGCAGAGAGGAAGGGATGGGAACACTTACTGCACCCGCGTGGGAACAGCAGACTCAGGGCGGGTTTGTCCGTGGTCGGCTCAACGCGCTGCCCTGAACTTCATCCGAGAGGCCGCGCTGCTGGCTCAAGAGAGGGTCTGAGTGTGTGCGCGTGCGCAGTCGTGCCTCGGTGTCCCTCACGTCTCATGCGGGACTGCGAATCAGACCTTTCTCCCTGACCGTGCTCAGCACGGGGTCCGGTGCCTCGGTGTCCCCGCAGAGACCATCCGGTCCAAGCAGGTTGTTGAGAATATGGAGCGGCTGGGCCTGACGGGGTAGGGAGGGGGCTTGAGCAAGATGGTCTTCCCACCACCACCTGGGTCTGGGCCCCACCGCCCGCTGAGCCACAGTCGGGGACCTTTCTCCTCCCAGCCTCGGTTTCCCCACCTGGGCCAGTGCTACCACCACAGGGGTCCAGGCTCGCGAGGGAGCCGCTGGCTGAGGGTCGCGTGCGCACACATGTACACACGTGTGCGTGTGTGCGTGCAGCTGTCCCCTCCCCTGGCTCCCCCGTGGGAGGGAGGAAGGGGTATTTGGGGCCCTGGGCTTCACCGTGGTTGGTTTAATTACAGGTTTTCAGCCGCGGGCCGGTGGGCACGCGTTGGGAGGGAGGGGGGAGCGGCTCCGAAACCCTGTCATTTTCCAGCGTCTGAAGGCCTCTTCAAAGGGGGGCATCCAGACATTTTCTCCACAAGCCGCAGAGTGGACTGTCGTGGCCCCAGCATGAGCATAATGACGGGAGCATTTTGCGGCAAGCTGGGAGTGAATGGGTCCGACCGGCTTGTCTCCTGTCAGACGAGTCATTATTATTTTTTTTGTCATTTGCTGACAGTTTGGGTTTCATGCGTTTCTCTCTCTCTCTCTCTCTTTTTTTTTCTCTTTTTCCCCCTGCCTGGAAAAATGGCTAGGTATCTACGAGACCCCAGCGGGGACGATCCTTTACCACGCTCATTTAGACATTGAGGCCTTCACCATGGATCGCGAAGTGCGCAAAATCAAACAGAGCCTGGGCTTGAAATTCGCCGAGCTGGTGTACACGGGTGCGTGGAGCCTTCTGCCCTCCCCTCCCCAAGCCGACAGCACTCTCCTCTGGTCCCATGCCACCCACTGCCGCCCTTGCAAGAGCCCAAAGGATACAGGTGGAAGGGGGTCAAGCGAGGGAAGGGGGCTCCAGCTGCCTTGCCCACTGAGTGTTGAGGGGAATGTATCAGCCCCCCCCCCCACCAAGGTGTCCGGCCTCTCTGCCACCTATGATTCGCATGATGTCAGCAGGGCCGGGGAAGCATCACATGTCCTCCCTGGGTGGCCATGCCCAGCACACGCCAGGTGCCAGGCACTGTGTGGGGACACAGCCGTCCCCGGGAGTCCCTCTCAGCATTCCTAGGAGACTGCCAGCCAGCTCTTCGCACAGACGGGGAAACTGAGGCTCAGAGCAAACGGGCCCTGTACAAAATAACACAGCCGGAGGTGGCCTAGCTGGGTCTGGCCCAGGTCGGGCTGTCTCCAGGCAGAACCTGGAACCGCCTCAAGCGAAGGGCAGCCTGCCTTGACCGAGAACTCAGCGCCAGGTCTGGGCGTCGCAGGAGCCAGCTGTAACTAGCACATGCACGGAATGATGGTAGCACGGAGTATGGGTGGGTCTCACCCCATTTTACAGGTGAGACCCGGGTTTCTGTGCCTTACCCGTTGTCTCAGAGATGGAATCCAGGCCCCCTGGCTCTAAACCCACCCCTCACCTTGTGGAAGAGCGGTCCCCAGGTCCAGCCCGTCACCCGTGCTTGTCTTGCCCAGGAAGGAAGCCTAGTTTTTCAGATTTTTTAGATGGTTGGGGAGAAAGTTAATAATACTGTTTGACGTCACGTGGAAATGATAGGTCATCCGAATGTCAGTGTCCGTAATAGTTTTCTGGGCACAGCCGTGCACATTGGCTGACATGTTATCAGTGGCCATGCTGAGCGACAGTGGCAAGTCGGGTAGTTGTCAGGAGAAACTCCACATGACCTGTGAGCCTGAAATAGTTACTCTCTTCAGCGCCCTTTCCAGAAAATGTTCGCTGACCCTGCTCTGTGACATTTACTGTCTCCTTAATGTGAGAAATCACATCAAATAGCCCCTCCGAGCTGTGGCAGGGGACAGGGTGCTGCCGACATCCATGGGGCCCTGGACGTCAGGGGGCCCCGGGAAAGTGAATATTAATAATCCCTACCCTGGATGAGCCTCTGCTGCTCTCTCTCGCTCATCCCCGCCCCCTCCACTCGGAGGTTCCATTTCCTCTGAAAGCTCCTAATCGCTGCAACTCACCTTGGGGTTTCAGGGGGACTCGGTGGTTATTGGCTGGGTGATTTTGCCCTCCCATTGTATCCGGCAGCTTTGAAGCCGGGTCCCCCTCCTTCCCAGGTACAGACAGGTGTTTAAATACCATTGTCTCCTGCGGGCTCTCTTGCTCAGCAGGGTTTGGACTGAAAGGTGGATTCTGGTTACAAAGTAGGAGACTCATTAAGCATGGCAGGCCCGTGGGGGAACGCACCTGCCCGGGGCTGCCGGCTCTGAGACCCGGGGCTCTGGGGAGGCCGAGTAGGGGCAAGCCACCAGCCACCACCCTTCTCATCCTAGAAGGGCATCACCTCTTGCTGAGGGGCCCGGAGCTGGGCACTCACGGGGATTACCCCATCTTGGCTGCATAGAGGTGAAGACACTTGAATGAGGTTTCGCGGCTGATGAGTGGTGGATTTGAGCCCAGGACAGGCCAGCTTCAGAGGCCAAGGGCTCAGCCACTCCAGTAGATCCTGGGAGGCAGGGGGTAGGGGGGACAGGGAAAGTGGGCTGGGGCCCTTAGAAAAGGGAAATTGGGTGGGTGCACGGAGCATGCGTGGGGGGGGGGTTCCTTGGTGTCTGGGGCACAATTTGGCCCTAGGCCGCGGGCTCAGCGCCTCTCCACCTGACCCCCAGGGTTGAACCCATGTTGTGTTATCCACTGAGCCGTCCAAATCCCTGAGTTACAGCGATTAAGAGGTTTCAAAGGATTATAAATACTCGCAGTCCCAGGTGCCCCAGGTTTAAGCAGGCTACTCAACCTCCCCGTGCCTCAGTTTCCTCATCCGAAGAGCAGGGATAATAGATGTACCTGTCTCATGGTGAGGACTAAGTGCGTGAACGTTTGTGAAGCATCTAGAACAGTGCTGGCAGAGGGGAGGGGCCACTGCAAAGCATGTTGAAAACTACAAATGCCTGGGATGGTTTCCAAATACAGACGCAGGGACCTGGGGTCTTGCTCTGCCCAGTTATATAACCTTGAGCAGGTCTGCCTACCCTGAGCCTCAGTTTCCCCTCCTGTAAAACATAGGGCACCAGTCCAGGTCTCTTCACAGTTCCTAATCCTAATACCTCAGTCACTGAGTCACTCCACTGTGACACTTGGCTTCCTCCGAGCACAGGTAGGGAGACTGAGGCACGAGGAAGCCCGCCCCACTCTCAGATGCCCCGGTGGCTGACCGCTGTTCATCTCCCGCGCCTCACCCCTTCCCCAAATCTCCCTACGGGCTTGTACAGAACCCCCCCCTGCCCCCCAGGCACAGACCCTGGTCCCAACCCACAGGGTCATCCTGGCATGACCTCAGCTTCAGGACCCATCTCCTTCAGGGCACAGAAGCTCACCTCCTCTCCCCTCACCTCAGTTACTTCACCGGAAAAATGGGTCTAATCCACAACTCAGAACAGAGGGCCGTCGTCCCAATTAGCTCAGCGCCTGGCCCGGCCCAGCCCCGAGACGCCCCTGCAACACAGCAAGCTCGCTGTCCCTCGCCCTAGGCCGGGTCTGCTGGGACAAGAAATCTGAGAGCAAGACCCCGGTGTGGTAGAGGTGGGAAATCCCGAGATAAAGCCCAGGCAGGTGCTCCCACGTGGGTCCCCCCGGCCCCTATCTCTGGCTCCATCTCCCTGTCTTCCCGCCCGCAAGCTTAGAGATCTAATTATCCTGACTTAGAAAGATGGCCAAGCCACTGGGGCATGGCAGGGCAGGGGGCGGGGGCCACCAGTGTCCCCTCTCTCGGGGCTAGCATCGGGAGCACTCTTCAGGATCTCACTGTGGCCTGGGACGGCCCCTTCCTCTGCGGGGGTCTCTCTCCCCGTGTGCAGTGAGGACTGGCGGAGGATATTCGAATCTCGAATTTAAAATGCTTAGGGCTCGGCCCGCATCCTGTCACTGAGGCCACACAACCCCTGGAGAATGGTTAGTAACATCTCGTTGTGCAAACAGGGAAACCGAGGGACAGGGAAGTTGGGTTGCTTGTCATTGTGCAGCGGAGGTAGACCCAAATGACAGGTGGCTGGAGAGCGAGGACCCAGTCTCTTTCCCTCCCTGCCTGGCCCTCCCCCACTGCTGCGAGCCACCGGACCCCATCCCGGAGAAGGCCTGCTCCCCTTTCCCACGGACAGCCTCCCAGGTGCCCCCCTGGAGGCCTGGCCTCCAACAATAGCCGCAGACCCGGGGCTGACCTGGCCCTTTATCAGGGCAGGAGATCTCGCACCATCTGGCCCCACAGCTGCCCAGGTGGGCTCACCTTCCCAGCTCCGTTTCAGAGAAACCCTACCCCTGAGCTGTCCCTCCCCCAGCCCTGGCTGTGGGGCCCCCACCCTCCACAAAGACTGCGAGGAGATGGCTGTCTGCAGGTCTGAGCCTGTTGGTGCTGAGATACCACCCTGGGGATGCCTGGGGACGCCCCGGGACAGCCTGGGGACAGAGCACACCAGAGCACATCGCCTTTCCTGGCCTTAGGGCTCTGGGTGCCAGAGTGTGGAAGAGGGGGAGGTAGCACATCTCTTAGGCACCTCGTGTGCTGATGGACGTCCATCCTCGGATGGGAAAATTCCAAGGTTATCATGAAACGAAGCTGTTATAACTTGGGGACTAAGGACAGACGCAGGCCCCTCACCATAGCTGGTGTGTGACCCTGAGAAACCTCAACTCCCCTGAGCCTTACTTGCTCACCCAGAGAAGAGAGAGGCTGAGAGTTTTTCTCATAGGGCTGTTGATGCCAATTCAAAGAGGTGAACTTGGCAATGCCTATGCTTCATTCATAAAAATATTTGCGTATGAAAATATTAGCAGTTTGTAGACAGGTTACTGACATCCAGGGAATGGGGGAGGGGGGCATCTTGGTTCTTGGCCAGGACGCCAGTGTGTGGACGTCACACACAATGAGCCCCCTAGTCCTGGGAGGGGATGCTGTGTCATCCCAACCCAAGAGATGGGGAAACCTAGTCAGAGAGGTGAAGGCCACACACGCGTGGCCTTTCTGAACCCCAAGCACCACCCGGCTGCCCCTGCTGGGCCCTTCCGGTGCTCAGCCTGGGGTCACACACACACATGAGTCTTACTGGGGGCCTCCCGCCCAGCCGCTGTCCGCTGTCCTCAGAACACTGAGCTCCCAGGGGGCCAGCAGCAGCGTCCCTTCACCGCTGTGTCCCCAGTGCCTGGCCCGTCGCGCTCCCCGCATGTCTGGCATGAGGCAGAGGGTTAGCCCCGCCCCTCCTGATCATTGCAAGGGCACCTCCGTCCCCACAAGAGACCCGCAAAGCCACAGGCCAGGCACATGGGCTTACGCCACAAGTGTGTGCCCTGCCGAGACTCAGCAGCCAACAGGGCAGGCCCACACGCCAAGGGCCGCCATGACGGGCCGAGCCATGCGGCTCTCCAGCGCGGTGGCCCCCCCAGCACCCTCCCCCGTTCCTCCCTGCAGGCTTCTGGCACAGCCCTGAGTGTGAGTTTGTCCGCCACTGCATCGCCAAGTCCCAGGAGCGCGTGGAAGGGAAAGTGCAGGTGTCTGTCTTCAAGGGCCAAGTGTACATCCTCAGCCGGGAGTCCCCGCTGTCCCTCTACAATGAGGAGCTGGTGAGGTAGGTGCCTCCACGCTTGCCCCAGCTGGGGAAGAGACCCCCCACGGCCAGGGTCCCTTCTGAGCAGCTTCCTCAACAAAGATGAGCACGTACAGGACATGGAGGAGACAGTCCCAAAGAGAATGGACGCTACCTCTGCTCTCAGGGTCCTTACAAGCTAGATGGGGAGAAAGGCACCTGTCCAGGGATCACTTGAAAGAAGAATGCGGAAAAGGGGGCGTCAGGCTGTGCAGAGGTGCAAGGTACTCTGGATAGAGTGACAGGTGTGGAGAAACTTCCCTGAGGAAGTCACCTTGGAGCTGGCCTCCAAAAGACAGGAGCTAACCAGATGGAGAGGGAGCAGGGGAGTTTCCAGGGAGGTTCTGGGCCTCAGAAGAGCCTAGAACATTCCAGGCACTACCAGAACCCCAGGAGCAAAGGATTAGAGCATGGGGCTCCCGGACCAGGATCTTAAAGGGAAGGACCCATCAGATCTTGGTTTTCCAAGGTTCCTTCTGGCTGCCCCAGAGAACGGATTTGGGTGAGTTGGAAGTGAGCAAGGGGGAACGGAACAGCACCCCATGGGACTTGCTGGTGGCTGGGGCCAGGCTGATGGTCCTGGAGCCAGAGGAAAGCAGAAGGATGTGACAGATGGTGAAGAGGTAGAATCGAGGGGCACCTGGGTGGCTCAGTTGGTTGAGCATCTGACTCTTGACTTCAGCTCAGGTCGTGATCTCGAGGTTCATGAGACTGAGCTCTGTGTCAGGCTCTGTGGTGATAGTGCAGAGCCTGCTTGGGATTCTCTCTCTCTCTCTCTCTCTCTCTCTCTCTCTCTCTCTCTTCTGCCACATGCACTATCTTTCCTCTCAGAATAAATAAATAAACTTTTAAAAAGAGAGAGAGGTAGAATTGAAAGGGCTTGGATGTGCAGGGAAATGGAGAGGTATGGAATCACCTGACATGAACAGCTGGGCGCACTTTGGTGGCATTTCCTGAGTTGAGAGAATTCTTGAGGAAAGATCGTGCATGTGGATTCAGACACCTTGAGGGTGAGTCCTCTTTGAGACTGAGCGGGAGAGTACCCGGTCGACCCTTGGACACACGAGTCTAGGGTAGAGGAGAAATTGGGTTGAAGACAGTGGAGAGTGGTGGACAACTCGATGTTTTCCGAAGCCAGGAGGAAGCCGGCTGCTGGCTGGGATCGGACTGAGACAGGAAGGGAGCCTTGAGGGGCCTTGAGGGATCTTGAGGCCAAGCCGAGGGTGCTGACAAGGACCCAGGACGGGCTGTGTAGCCCAGGTCAAAAAGACAGCCTTGGCCTTTGAGCTGCACCTGCACTTGTGCATGAGACCATGGCCTTCACCAAGGATCAAGGCATCCCCTTTGGAGGTCACCTGGCCAAACCAGAGGTGGGGACAGACAGCCCCCCCCCCCAACTCAAATCCCAGGCCCAGATCGGCCCCTGCGGAGGCCTGTTGGGAATTAGCGCGCGCGTTCTGTTTGGCAGTCAATATTATTTTTCTCTTTCCCTTCTCCTCGCCGTGTGGAGCGTCTCCCCCCTTCCATCCTTCTAAACACTTTATAAGCCATAAATATAACCGAATCAGTTTAGATCAGTCGGGGTAAATGTCAAATTATCTTCTCTCTTTCTCTCTCTGGCTCTTTCTTCCCTCCCCCTCCGAATCAACAGCCTCTAATAATCTGCCCAACCCTTCATTAAGCCTTACAGCCTCACTCAGGGAGATTAAATGAAGAAAGTAAAAAGGGGAAGGGAAAAAAAGAGAGAAAAGCAGGCACATTTATTCTCACTGTGTCTCCGACCATTTCCCCTTTCTTTTTGATTTCTACATCGCTGACTTGAAAGCCCTTGAATGACAGCGTCACAGGGACCAGCGAGGGAGCTGTGAGAGGCAGCAGGGCTAGAAATGCAGAGGCGCAGTAGGTAGAAAGTAACGTAATTATAGAGCAGGTCAGAGCCACTCGAATGAACAAAAATAAAAGCACAGAGGTTTTCTGGAGACCGTCAGGGGAGGTAAAAAAAAAAAAAAATCATTGTAAACTCTTTTGCCACCGCCACCGCCCCCCCCACCCCACCCCAAACCACAATTTTAAAAAGAGGTTTTCCAGCTCCTGAGAAACACCTCTCGGACTCCTCGGCAGCCTTGCGGGAAGAGTCGGTCCCTGGACGTGGGCCTCCCTCTGCAGGGGCTGCTGGGGCGGGCTGGACGGGCCCACGGGGGAGGGGAGCGGGGACCGGGGGATGGGAGCAGGGAAAGTTTGTTTTGACACGTGTATCAAGACGGTGTTGAAAAGGCAGCCGCGCGTGGAGGGGCCCTGAGCCCTGGCTTCTCCGTGGGTGCGCACAGGGGTCCTTCTGAAAGGGGTGGATGGGAGTGTATTTCACACTTTGTGTGTGTGTCGGGGGCGGGGGGGGAGCTACATTTATCATCCAGAGCAAGGTCTGTAACAGGGATCTATGGAGGCTGATGCTTGAGTTTGGTCCAGCTTTTTCTCCACCCAGTTGGGGAAGGGGGGGTGCCAAGAGGGAGCCTCCCCCCTTCCCCTTCCCCTCCCCCCACCCCCGGAAGTCTCTCATCTTCCCCCTTCCAGGGAACTTGCTGTTCAGCTCCAGGTGGCTTCGGCCACCTGAGACCTGGAGGGGCCAGCGGAGGTGAGGAGGGAGGGAGGGAGGGGTGGGAGTTCATGGGCAACTTCACAGCCCCATGAAGGTCAGGGCAAGGGCACAGTGAAGGTCGGGCCCGGGTCCTAGACAAGTTGCTGGGCAGTGGAGCCCAGAGACCCCAGTTCCTGTTGTGAAAGGTCCACGGCCCACAAAGAGCCAGCCAGAGGCGCAGCCTTAGGGCGGGGGAAAAAAAAACAAAAAACTGGCAGATTCTCCTCTGCCCCCATCCTTCGCAAGCTCACCTCTCCCAGAGAGGGCTCCTGAGGGGACAGGCCGTCCCCTTGTCATTGAGAACCTTGAGACTGCTTTGTCCTGAGGCCAGAGCTCTGGAGACAGGAAGACAAGGGGCTGATTCAGAGCAGGACGCGTGAGAAACAGAGGAGGGACCTCTCCCCACCAGAGGCTTGTGGTGGCTCCGTGGGGACAGATGTGAGTCCACAGCGCCTGAACTTGTCCCCGAAGAGCTTCTCGAAGTCGTGATTAAGGAAGGCAGATGGGCGATTGATTGCTTACGTCTGCCACCCCGACCCCTCCCCACCCCACACACCGTGGGCCCTGTTCTTTCCTTGGCACCTGTGGGTCCTAGGGGCCCAAAACATACCTGAATAAATGAAGGAGGGAATGAATGATACAGTAGCAGCGAGTGCTTGCCAGGGGCCAGCTACATCATTTCGCGCAGAGCCGAGTAATAACACCGAGAGCCCCGTTTGGCCAGTAAAAGCCTGGAGTTCAAAGAACAGGAGTATTTGCCCCAAGCTCTGTGGCGGGGAAGGGGTGACAGCTAGAACGTACCTCCCCCCAGCCTGCAGGACTGTGGTTGGGAAGGGTTTGGGAGGCTAGCAAAGGGAAAACAGCCCCAGAGCTGAAGCCTGTCGAACCTGGAAGATGGCACTGGTGGGGGGGGGGGGGGCGGACACTGGGAACAGCAGTGCTTGACCAGGTGCTTTTCGCGGCCAGCTGGCCTGGGGCAGGCGTCAGGTTTGTGGATGGATTAGACAAGGTCTTGCTGGCAGCCTTCCTGCACCAAGAGCTTGAGAGGCGCCGCCACAAATCCGAGGCTGACCCACGTCCACACCCGGGCCTTCGGGCCACGGGATGCCATGAGCTGTCGTGGGAGGCTCCTCGCAGTGTCCTGCCACCACAGCCCTGAAGGCAGAGCTGGCTGGGCCAGTTCTCTGGTTCATGGGAGGATTGCACCAGGCTGGGGCTGGCTGAGCGGGGACCCTCCCTGCCCATCCATGGAGCAGGGATGAGGTGCCCCGCTCACCAGCCCCAGCCACAGCCCCTGGCCCACAGTAGGGCTCTGGAATTGGACAGAGATGCAGTGAGAAGCCCAGGTTTGGGCCAGCACGGCAGAAATACTTAGGTATCTGGGAGCCCAAGCCGCACCTGGGCCCAGAGATCCTCTGACATGGGAAGCAAAGTCTGGGGCCGTGCGGACAGGCTTCTATTCTCTCTTTGCAGCATGAACGTGCAGGGCGACTATGAGCCAATTGATGCCACCGGCTTCATCAATATCAACTCCCTCAGGTGAGCAGCTCTGGGCCCGGATGGGTCCTCAGACACCCCCCCCCCCAGGTGTGGGCATCAGGCGTTAATGGGACCTCAGCTGCCCTGCCCTAGACAAGCCCCACCTTCCTGTCCCTCTGCTACTGCATCTTCAAGTGCCTGCTTTGGGCACAGCCAAGAGCCACAGAGGGTCCTGGGTACCTGGGTTCCATGTTTCTGGGGGCTGCCCGTTGCCTCTGACATCACCCCCACCCTCTCCAGCTGAAAGAAGGACTCCACTGGGAGCCCCTTGCCTGGGTGGGTTAGAAGGGAAATGACAGAGAGGTTTGGAAAGGACCCTCAGAAAGTCACCAGACCAGAAGGCACCCGGTGCCTACACGTCTGCAGACCCAAGCTTCAGGTATAACTGGAAACTACCCGGGGCCACATGGATCCCCGTGGCATGTGTCATCTGAAGACACTCAGGCCTGGGTTCAAATCCTGGCTTTGCGGTATGGTCTCAGACCCCTTCCAGAACCACCAGGAAGCATGTGGCCTCATTGACCATGGCCACCACCTCACAGGCGTGGCGTTTTGTAGGAGTCCTCAGAAATCAAGTCCTCAGCCCAGACCCTGGCCTGTGGGACGAGCACAGCAACTGGTACCATGTGCTCCGCCCCGGGGGTGTCGGGGGAGGAGGCATGTGCACAAGGGCAAACAGGGTCATTTATTACCAACGGTCACCATACACTAAGCCACTCCCAGGCACCCTCCTAACTAGTCTCAGTTAATTCTTACACAAAGTCGCAACTCCAGAAACAGGCCCAGAGTGGTTAAGTAACCTGCCCGCAGTCACACAGCTAGGACGTCACCGAGCTGAGTCCAGAAGGTGTGTCGGTCCAGCCCCGGGTTCCTAGCCACCGACTTCCTTCTCTCGGGCTGGGCACAGAGCCACCATTTTCTCCCAAAGCCAGGCTCTTGTCCCTGGTGCCGAGATGGAGGGAGACGTTGAATCCAGCCTGACCTTCCCGGGCGCTCTCAGCTCCCGCAATCACCTCCGCCGCCCCGCCTCCCTCGCCCTCTGTATTTTATGACTATAAATCCTTTTCAGTGGCTCCAAACACATCGGGTTTTCATAATGGCCTCTTCATCTCTTCCATTGCCAGTTAAATGCTTTGTCTTCAACAATGCCAAGCAATGTTTTCCTCCAAAGATAAATTAATTACATTATCTGATTGGAGGGCAGGAGGGGCCAGGGCAGGAGTGGGAGAAAAAAGACAACTTCACACACATCTTAACAAGCAGCTGCCCCCCGCCCGGGTTGGGCCTGAATTAATTGAACCGAGTGCATGTTGTTATTGTTAATTTACATTTTTCTTTGTTTTGAATCTGGTTTACAGGCTGAGGGAATATCATCGCCTCCAGAGCAAGGTCACTGCCAAATAGACCGGTTGACAATGAGGAGCTGGGCCTCCTCGTTTGCCCATCTCCCAAGTACAGGCGCTAATTGTTGTGATAATTTGTAATTGTGACTTGTTCTCCCCGGCTGGCAGCCTGGTGGGGGTGCCAGCCCCCAGCTTTGTTCCCGGCTCCCCTGCAGCCTGTGGAAGTGGGCATGGAAGGGAAGGGGGGCGTGCCTGCACTGTGGAGATGTAAAATGACAATTAAAAAAAGATACATTAGTCTTTTGTTTCTTTATTTCTGCAGAGAGAGGATGTGTGTGTGTAGTCAGTCGTGCTCTTCTTAGACCAACCTTTGTGCTGATTTAAGGGCCGCCAAAGCCACCTTTGACCGGCGACCCTGTTAATCTGAAAGGATCGGACCATCTCTCCAGCAAAAAAAAAAAAATAAACCAGGGAATCCAGATGTGGGCCCCTGTGTCAGCCTGGCATTTTGTCACCGACTGTGGCCCCGTGCCATGTCACAGGGAACCAAGGAGAGTTTGGGTGACACCTGGGGAGCTGTCGCGCCCACAGCCCACAGGGAACAGACCAGAACGGCGGCCATGACTGCCCGCAGGAGGCTCCCCGACCATAGCACGGTGGCCTTCGGTGGCCCAAATTATGGAGGAGGAACCCCGAGTGAGAAGAAAAGCCTGAACAGAGAATAGAAAAGGACAGACACAAAATTTAGTGTTCGCTCTTGGGGGAGGCCACCTGGCCTACAAGTTGCCTGCTGTCGCCCCTTGGCGAAACAAGGCCCAAAGCCGCCATGTCTGTGTAATGGCTCCGCCCCCTCGGCCATACCCATTGGGCCAGAGCTGGACACCTGACCCAAGCTGGCCCAATCAGAATCTTCTTCCGGGAACCGGGCGGGCACAAATAGCCGGAAGTGAGGACGGATGCCCTCGGCCTGGGTGGGATGCCCTGTTCTCGGAAAAGCGGAGGGAGACGGGAGGAGTGGGTTTCAGGTTTAGAATCCGAGGTCCCATCCGGCTGTGCACCATGGTGGCAGTGGCGTTTCTTAATCCGGATTCTCTAAGACAGCCTGAAGTTCTCCTAACCGATGATCATTTAGGGCTTAAGCCTCTAAGGAGGGAGTGCCTGAAACTTGCAACCAAAGTAGAATGCTGACCACTCGGCCCCGGTTCTGACCTCCACCCGACTGCCTTTGCCAATGAGGGCTTCTTTCAAAACAAGTTTTGTCTTTAAAACTTCTTTTTCTCTGATTATAAGAATGAATTACTCAATACTAGTGTTGCCAAACACTTTGCTCTATGCTTTATTGACATTATCTCACTGGATCTTCAAAACAACACTGTGAGGTAGACACTTTCACCTCTATTTTACAGAAGAGTCAACAGGTGCAGAGAAATTGATTTGCTAAAGGCCATTCGGCTGGCAAGTGACAGCCAAGGACCAAACCCCGTCCTGGCTGGTCTGCAAAACCTCTTGAGGTCATGTCCTTAATCATCATGGTCGGCTGTGTCTTACTAAAATTTATTGAAATTTCATGGAAAGAATTATCACTCATCAGCTTACCACCCAGTTACAAACACTGCTTCTATTTAGTTTATTTCTTTACAGTCATATTTTTCTATGCTTATAAATATTTTTGCAGAGTTCCTTAAGCTAAAATATTTTAAAACATTTTTTAATGTTGTCTTTATTTTTGAGAGAGAGACAGAGCACGAGCAGGGGAGGGGCAGAGAGAGAGGGAGACACAGAATCCAAAGCAGGCTCCAGGCTCTGAGCTGTCAGCACAGAGCCGATGGGGGGCTCAAATCCACAGACCATGAGATCATGACCTGAGTGGAAGTAGGTCGCTTAACCCACTGAGCCACCCAGATGCCCCTAGGCTGAAGTATTTAAAAAGCAGGTGTTGTGCTCTGCTTTAAAACATTAACATTATATGGATCTGCCGGTTAAGCGTCTGACTCTTGGTTTTGGCTCAGGTCATGATCTTAACGGTTTGTGAGTTCAAGCCCTGCATCGGGCTCTACACTGACAGTGCAGAGCCGGCTTTGGATTCTCTCTCGGGGTCCCCCCTCTCTCTCTGCTCCTCCTCTGCTCATGCTTTTTCTCTCAAAATAAATAAATAATGTTAAAATGTTAACATTATATCATGAATGGTTCCCTACATCATTAAATCTCTTTTGGAACAACAGCTACAACAGCTACATAATATTCCATTATATTGGGGAAAAAACCCTAAGTTACTCATTTATAGATTTATAGATCATATAAACAATTTTATATAATATTCATTTTTATATAAATTTTATATAATTATTTATTTTATAGAAATAAAATAAAGCTGTTGACAGTTCAGATCCTGGAGACTGCTTCTGATTCAGTGTGTGTGTGTCTCTCTCTCTGCCCCTCCCCTGCTCATGCTCTGTCTCTCTCGCTCTCAAAAATAAATAAACATAAAAAAAAAACTTACCATTTTTGTCCCTGCATATATGTCTCCTTTTTCTGCCTGCTTTTTTTAAGTTTTTAGAAAACATTTATTTATTTATTTATTTACTTATGAAAGAGAGAGAGAGAGGAGAGCAAGGGGGGAGGGGCAAAGAGAGAAGGAAACAGAATCCCAAGCAGGCTTCCCACTGTCAGCGCATAGCCCCGCTCAGGGCTTGAACTAATGAACCATAAGATCACGACCTGAGCCAATTCAGAGTCAATTCAGAGTCAATGGCTCAACTGACTGAGCCACCCGGGCACCCTTTCTCTGCCTGCCTTTAAGACTATATTTTTATTGCTGATTTTCTCTTTATTGCTGATTTCCAGCAATCTGATTATGAAGTGCCTTGCTATGGTTTTCTTGTGCTTATTCTATTGGGGTTCATTGGACTTGAACCTGTGGGTTTTTATCCAATGTGGAACATTTTTGGCAGTTTCTCCTCTCCGTTAACATATGTCACATGCTTTCCCATCCTTCCCATTCCCACCATGTCTCCTATCTTGCTTGGAGTAAAAGCCAAAGTCCTTCCCGCAGCCAGCACCAACTACCAGACACAGAACTGAGATCACGCGAGAACTCCAGCTCCGTAAATTGCCGTAAGATGCCGTAAGATGCCGTCGAGCCGTAAGATGATGGCAGCTGCCTGATTGATCCCACATAAGATCAGCAGAAGAATCACCCAGACCGACCACCTCTGGGCTCATGAGAATGAAGACAGTTTTGTTGTGTTGCATGAAGTTTGGGGTGCTTGTTATGCAGAAACAGATCATCAATACATTTACTATGGCCTCTGAGTCCCTTCGTGGCTCCCTACTGCCTTCTTTCCTCACCTCCCTTCACTCGCCTCCTCACTCTGCCCAGCCTACTGTCTTACTTACTGTTCCCTAAAGAGGCCAATCTCTGCCTGGAGCCGCCTGCTCAAGATGGCCCCAAGGCTCACTTGCTAATGTATTCTCTTTTTTTTAATAACTTTTTTTAACGTTTATTTATTTTGAGAGAGAGAGAGCAAGAGCAGAGGAAGAGCAGAGAGAGAGGGAGACATAGAATCTAAGGCAGGCTCCAGCTCTGAGCCGACAACACAGAGCCTGACACAGGGCTTGAACCCATGAGCAAGATCATCACCTGAGCTGAAGTTGGACGCTCAACCGACTGAGCCCTCCAGATGCCCAAAGTCTCACTTGTTATAGAGCCCCAGCCTGGCCCTTGCTACATACTCTTTACCCTGCCTTTCTCTGCTCCATCTCACATATCACCACCTGACATGTTATGCATTGATTTGCTTTGTGTGTCTAATAATTTTTGTTGGATGCTGGACATTGTTGGGTGTCTCTCCCACCAGGACAGGGAGCTCCATGGGGACAGAGACCCCATCTCTGTGTCAGACCCAGACAACTGTGTCCCAGATCCTGAAACCATGTCTGGCCCATAACAGGTACTCAGGAAGTATATGTTGAGTGATGAACATCTACCCAGGCTTCATTAGCTCAGAAGCCACATCCAAGGAGCTTTGGAAACACACCCTCCCCTCTCCCCCCAGTTCAGAGCCCATCCCTGATCTAGAGGTGCAGGGGGAGGCACTCAGGAGCTGTTCCAACCGAGTGCTCATGCCAACAGGGACACTGTATTTATTATGCAACAACCATAAGTCTCAAGGCTCCAGGCTTCTGACCATGTCAGCCCATGTAGCATGCTTACAAGGGAAGAGGCACCCCCTTCATGTAGGTTTGGGCTGAGACAATCAGACTTTTTGCATATCACTCACCAGCCTCTGAGCTGATGGTGGGCCCTGACAAGTGCCACTTTCTTGGTTAAGAAGGTTGAGAAGCTCATCCTCCAGCCTTCCCTAATGCTCAGCCCTGGACATTTCCGGCATGGGCTCCATCTACCTCGCAGACTGCAGACACCCCGAGAACAGTAACCGCATGCCTTGTGCCCATTGCTCCGGCACCCGGCACAGGCCTTGACAGCTAAGAAGTTCTCAATGAAATTGTGTTGGATGAGTCAATTCCCCCATCACATGTCAGTACTATCTTACTACTATTTCTAAATCCACCCGTGTCCCTCCTCCAGCTCCTGGCTGGGAGATGGAGGGCTTCTCGTGTCTGGTGCTGGGGTCCTGAGCCTCAGCAGGGCAGACTGATCAAGGACTCCAGACCCCTTTCACCTTCTGGGGCTGGGAAGACAAGGAGGGATGCATGCCGCCAGCTGGCCAGCCAGCCGGACCCACCTTCCGGGCCTCCCTGGCCCTACAAGAAGCAAAACATTTCTGTTCAAAGGCAGATGGGGCTGGTGTCAGTCAAGGTACAGTATATGTGTACACGAATGTATATACACACGCACACACGCACACGGAAAAGCGCATCTTGGGTGGACAGCTTGGCGAGGTGTAATCATTGGTGTCACCGCCACTCAGATGAAGATATGGGACATTCCCGGTGCCCAGAAGGCTCCCTGGTGCCACCATGAGACCGTTAGAAATCATAAGGGTGGGGGAAAAAAAGATGAACATCTTGCTTCTTTTTAAAAGTTTATGGAGGCAGCCTGGGCAAATAAGAAAGTCGGCAAAGCTCGAAGCCCCTAGGCCGCCCCATCACAGTGCTGGGGGCAGGGACCCTCAGGGGCCGCCTGGCGGTCTGTTGAGAGCTCTGGGCCGCGGCCGGGTCCTACCCTGCGGGGTTCCCTGAAGGAGTGAACGGGACCAGGAGGGAATGAAGGCGGCTGCACCTGCCTCCGCGCTCTTGATCTCAGCTGAGGTCTACGGAAACACCGGGCTCACGCA